TCTAAAAATTAGGTTGTGTCTGTACTTACTTATGATATTATCTTGAAGAAGCATTTTCAACAGGCCTTTTACACATAAAGCACGTTTTCACCATATTATTAGAGATATTAAATCTTAAATATACATTTGCAACCCTAACAACGTTATAAATAATATTTTCCGTAAAATACAAATAAGAAATTGACATGTGTCAGAAAGTGTCAGAACTGGCGCTGTCAAACTTGGCAACGCTGATTAAATAAGCCAATTACAGAAAAGGCATTTTTCCCCTCGGGTAGTAGATGTTGCTAACAAAATTTAGCGCGGGGAAGGGGGGAAGACTCCCTCTAGTAGTAATTGCTCGGAGCTCTGAGGTGGTACGTTTGATCTTTAAAAGTAGAAATTTTAGTTGACGTTTTCAGGATATGAAAAGTTTTCTTTATACGGACTTGGTTATGCCTAGTTAGTTGAATTTTTGTTCTGCTGCTTTTCAAATTTGTGTATGTGAGCGAAATGTGAGATACCTTTGTAGAGGCAACGATTGAACTCAAAATGGGGTCTAACTAAGGCATTATATAATCTGAATTTGGTGGTAAACCTAATTTTTTTTGTATTTCTGATTTAAAAACCAAAAGCTTTTATTGCTTTTTTAGTTATGTGTAAGAAATGGTTATTGAACTTCAAATTAGACTGAAAGACAACTCCCAAATCCTTTACCTCATATTCACGATTTAATATGACATCACAGGTCTTGTGTCTAATGTAAAAAATTAAGAGGCTACGAATCTTTAAAAATTAAAATATGCATGTTTGTAAGTGTTGATATATTTTGATTTGGTTGTTGAATTTATACATGAGCAATTTTACTTGTAGCGTTGTTTACATTTTGCAGAGAACTAATGTGTTCTGTTTTTAGCTGATACATCATTTACATGTAAATGGGTTGAATGTAGACAATTTTAATGTTTTTGCTACTACTGCTGGCTAGGAATGCTGGGCTGGGGGCTAAGACACCAACAAAACAACAAAAAAACACAAAGCACTAGATCAGTTTTTATCACTTATACTATTACAATTTACAACCATTCAAGTAACTAGCATGTTGAAAATACTTCACGAAAACATATTAAACATAAATCAGTCGAATGCAATGTATTTTTTTATAACACACTTTTTTAGCTTGTACGCTAGTACTCTATTTATTCCAGTTTTCTCAAAATAAAACAAGCAATAATAATTAACAATAAGGATAAAACACACACTGAAGTGCACTTGTGGTATTTTTGATCTAAATCCACTATCCTAATAACAAATTTTTCGTTTTTAAGCTGTGAATGTATTACAAAAACCATTTCGGTAAAATGTAAAAAAGTTTGAATCACCTACGTTTGACGGTCAGACAATATGGGAAACGTATAGCCTTCAATTTGAAGCTGCAGCTAGAGCTAATGGCTGGGATGAAAAAGAGAGGGCGGCTGCATTGATAGTGTCGCTGCGAGGACAAGCAGCAACCGTTTTACAGTTACTTCTTCAAGGGGAACCCAGTTATACGTCTCTTGTTTAAGTCTTGGAGACAAGGTATGGTTAGCAGCATTTGAAACGGGTATTTAAAGCCAGTCATAGCCAAAAAAATAATGAGAGTCTACAGGAATTCAATGCCGATATAAAACGATTGATTTATCTGGCCTATCCACAGGCGCTCAACGATTTTCAAGACTTGGAAATGCATATACAACATCACAAGACGCTGAGGGAGAAACTGACTGTAGCACAGGAATATGAAGTGGTAAAACTGATATCCAGATCTTTTCGCCCAAAAGTGAAAGGAATTAAATCCTAGGAAAATGAGGAAGCCAATGCTAATGCTATTTCCCAACCTACCGTCTCACTAATCCTAAATATCCTACAAAATATGCAACAAAACAGCCAAAATAAAAGCAGAAGATGCTTCAATTCCAAAAGAATCGAACTTCTTTAAAGAACCTGTAGACGCATGGCTCATTCTATGAATCGAGAATCAGGGAACGAGACCGGAAAATCGTTTAGATCAATTTTCCGAAGCCCGTCACGAAGTTTAAGAAGAAATAATTATGGGAGCATCCCGAAGAAGCCAATCACCCACACCGAGTCAGTTTTGTAGTAGTAACCAGAAAGTAGAGCATCGAAGAGGTCTCCATAGCAATGCAGATATTCTATCCGGGCAATTCTTTTTAGAAGGACAATGCCAGTACAGTAAAAAGCTCGAAGAACGAGAGGAACCGGTTGTTAAAGTTATTTTTCAAGCAACCACTATCAAATTAGAGGGCGACAAAGAAAAAATCACCCTTGAAAGGCTGAGAAAGTAACAGAAAAAAAAATGACTTAAAGGTTGTCCAAGAATGGCTCAAAAATAAAGTCACACCTACTTGGCAAGCGATAGCGAAATACAGTGGACCTATAAAAGGGTACTGGACTGGTACGAGTTCGGGATTTTATTGGGTCAATTGCCGATGGGATATAGCAGATTGGTGTAAAAAATGTGATGTATGCAATCGCAGGACAAAGGTCTACGGATTTGCTCTGAAACGACTGGAAGCTAACAGCGATAAAACAGAAGCTAGAATCGACAGTTGTGCTACAAAAACACATTTTGAGAGAGGCGACCCATTACGGCTGTGCAATCCCAAACAGCGAGAAGGATTTTGTCAGAAATCGCAACGGAACTGGGAAGGCCCCTACGCAGCCCTTAAGGAAAATCAACGACCTAAGCTACCGCATTTAGATGTCAGAGGGAAGTACATCCAAGGTAGTTTACATTAGAAAGTAATCGTAAAGACGTTGTCCAGATCCTCCCCGTTAGCTTTAACCATGTCCCAGAAATCAAGTTATTCGGGGCGAATAACTAGAGAAGAGGGAGAAATGTTACGCAGTAACCTGCAGCGTGCTGCAGTCGTCATAGGTCAAAAGTACGAGTAAAAGAAGAAGGCGGAATAAATGTTATTCCACGTCAAGACGAATCTGGAACGTTCGAGAAGGTTCGAGAAGCTATATAAGCTATATAAGTCGATAATCCTGACGTAAGAGAGTCAGTTTTATGATAGACATTATACGTTAATGTTATCAGTTGTGTAGTTATTGTAAAAGTTGATTTGAAATAAATTGAGATACCAAAATCCTGCATAACAATAATAACAAAAAAGTGATTTTTAAAACTTAAAAATAACTAAAATGACATAATACCAAAAGTAACGTATTTAGGAATTGGTCAATATGCATACGCCCCACTAAATAAATGTATTAACTCGTCCACGAAATAACCTCAAAAAAACAATTTCAAAATTTTCTTCTTTAGTGTAAACCAAGAGCGGTATTATAAAAATAACATTGTCTGGATACCTATAGAATTTTCAAACCAAATGGCTTACCTGCAACAGCATATGTTATCGCGTAAAACAAATCAATATTTAAAATGATAAATCACCTGATGATAAAATGTATTGTCAGTTATTGTACATGTTGACCGATTCGATTACGATGCTACCGTAACTACACTGTATGGCTCGTACACTTTCTTCCTGATCTGTATATTTAAGGCATTTATTGAAATTATATTTAATAATAAAATTGATGATATACGTTATTATGAAAATCTTTCTACACCACTGTTAGTGCGGCCTTTGCTAAATCTGGGCCTCTGATGACATGTCTCAAGCGTACATTGCACGTCTGATTCATATTAAAAGGCTTTTTTGATACCGATGACATTTCAACACGTTTTGAACGTTAGACGGCTCATAATGTTCCTTTTTCTATTATTGGATAAATTGAAAGTAGGCAAAAATCAAAAAGGGTATAGGTAACATAGAAAGCATTTGCCGCTGCGCGAATTTTGCCAAAACCGAAAAACTAAGTGCAAGGAGTAGGGCGATGTTAAAAATATCTCAAAATGAGTCGATATTAAAGAAGAAGCAAAACAGGTGACATTAATTTTGTTGCCGGAAAAATCAACAAAACTTTATGCATCTGCATACGAATCGTTTTTGCAGTAGAGAACTGCATAAAATACATATTCTTTTTCCGAATCAGCGCTGCTAGTTTATTCTACAGAATAAGCAAAAAAAATATAAGCTATCAACACTATGGACAACGTATTCTATGTTAAGATCTACAATAAACTAATATTAATATTGAAACATAGAGTAAATTAACCCTTTGAAGACTGTCAGTATTCTGAGAAGACCACCGTTATAAATTCCTCTTATAAACTTCCCACTGGTTTCTTAGTTATACCACTGTGTTAAAATGATTGCCTACATTAAAATCTACCTAACTTAAGTTTTAATCTCCATGATATGTAAAGAGAGAAAGACCATCGATAGAAAAAACCAGTGAGTAAATTTAAAAATCATCTCATATACCTTAGAGGACTACTTCTGCAGTACAACTACAAATGTTAGCAGAACACAGAGGAAATATTCATCTTGCAACATCGGACTTTGTCTCAAACACGACAAGAATTGTTTTAAAATGTTTGATGTAAAAAAATAAGAAGAACCGTCTAGTTTTTGTCACAGAATATTGAATTTTTAATTACTTTATGTTCCCACTCGTATCTTGAGAATACTACATCCTGCAGGACGAACTGCAGGATCAGGATTGTTTATTTCGTTTTAACTTCTTTTAAAAATGTAAACTAATAAATTTATTTTGCAAAAATCTCGTTTCGTTTTTAATATAAACATTGGACTGCAAAGGGTTTAGAATACTGCTAAATCGAAAGTCAGAAGGTCAACCAAAAATCGTATATTTTTTCTATGGAAAATGGTTTCCAAGCAAACGCTTAAGGTAAAATTTTAACATCCACTGTACATATTATTCTATCATTTTAAAGATAGTATAATATCAGAAGACCTGCGTCAATTATTCATCATGACGTTACTTAAAATATACCAACCAAAACCGAGTACACAACTAAAATAATTTGATTCTAAATACATTTTGTTATAGTACAGTAAAGTAACATTTCCGTTTGTGTTTTTCAGGTCGCGAAGGTCTGGAATCGTCAATACTCGGATTGGAGTTCGTGGTGAGGCATAAGCACTTTAAACGAGGCAACATGAAACTGAAATGTTTAGCGACCATCGCCACATTGTACCTCGTTAGTAATGAGGAGAGCGTTGAAGGCGAGAGGCCGCAGAAGGCGTCCGTTTTGGAAAGCCGGGGCACCGCGGCTCCTTCAGGATCACGAGCGGATAGGGTGCAAGGTAAGATTTGCTTACAATATAATCCTAGAGTGTAATTTATCATTTAATATACTAATGAAGGGTATAAGACATTATTCAAGGTTCAGTCATGCCGTTATTTACTAATTGTAACTTAAAACAATATAGACACTTTCTATCCCATTAATGCTGACCAATTTCCTGATTATAAAATAACTACACCAGTATTATTTCTTTATTATAATATTAATAGTTAACTCTTAAATCAAAATGAAATAAACAGCGTCTATAAAAATTTAAACATATAATATATGGAATTGGTACTTTTTGCCTTAGGTACATCAAATGAGGAAGTTCCGATTTTTTTATGTTGGTAGTAATGAGATGGTAATGACAAATTTAAACTTTCTATCTTGAGAGCCCTTTGGATCATTGTTAAACACAAAAAAAAATTCTTTAAATTTTGGACTTTTTTCATTTTTTGTCAATTTTTACCACCAAGGACCTGTGTTACGGCAAAAGATACTATGCACACTTTTTAAGGAGAGTAAATTTACAATGAAATGAGAATAATTTAGTTTTGTTAAGCCAAATAGTTTATAAGATACGGCTATAAAGTTTGTAAAATTAAAAAAAAAGAAAGTATTACTATTATGGGAAAAGCTACTTTTTCAGTTATTAAAGTCCACCAAATTCTCAACCACATGACATAAATTTTGTCAGCTTACACCTGATAGTTCCTAAGACATAGCTATTCAAAGTTGTAAAATAAGCATTAAAATTTATTAAAATTAACAGTTTACTAATTAAAACATTTATACGAAAAATGTAGTGAAACGCTTCATTATATTTTATGTACAGCACAGTTGGGGAAATAGGTATTACTTGCATTTTTTGTATATTTTTTATGAACCAGGCTCGTCCTCTGAATTCAACAGCACACCTTTTGGGGGCAGCTTGCTGAGGTAGAATTTTTTCATTGAACTATTCAGGAAGGTCGAAATCGTCATTTTATGGTGTGCCATTAATGAATGGTTCATCAATGTCGTCACACATCAGGTCTGGTATGTTCTAGCAAGATTGGCCAGTGCAGTAGCTGCAAACAGCCGAGCATTTCAGTCCTGCTTTCCTGCAACCACATCTGCTGATACAAACTTTTCTGCAGTTACAGAAAATAATTTTTAGCAGAGCTTGAGGAGCTGGTGGTGCCATCATCTGTTGAGGAACGAGGCCTTGTGTTCGCATCCAGCCCCAATAGAGATTATTCTTCTTATTTCAAAGCCACTTCTGTACCTGAACAAAATCAATAACAAATTAATGAACCATGTATAAAAAAATGTGCTCTGAAACAGAAAGGAATACAAGCAAAAAACTTATTTTTACCTGGTGGTATGTTCGCAGAGAGTGAAATCTTGCAGCATCATCCCTGGTTGGGGGCAATCTGGCAAGGTTCATATTAGGCTTAACTTCTTCCCTAGTGAACAACTGGAAGCGAAGATCGCTAATATTTTGCGATTCTATGTTGCGTCCATAACGTGAAAGGAGGAAAGTCTCTTCTGCATCGCAACTTGCTCAGGTGTGGTATTGAAGCTTAAGAAAACCTCTGCGTTTTGTTGGAGGCGTGGCTGTTTGTTTATTACCGATAGAAATTTCTTTTTTCCTTAACCAAATGGCGCTGATGTTGTATCACAATCGCTAAATGCGTAAAGGAACAGTGCTATTCCGGGTTGTGATAATTGCGTAAAGGAATTTGTCGAGTAGGTGACATCTGGGTTTTTTCCTCTCCCACATTTTACAAATATAATATTGTTATTTGGTCTTTTTGTTGAAAGGATACGGTCTCCCCCACCTCGTGACAAACGACAAAGTAAGACCGACAAATCTATATCCTCGCAGACGGTCTTCACTATTTCTTTGGAAGAGGATATGGAAATGGTTGCGGTTACTATTAGCCTATCAGCATCTTTCTCTGCCTGTAATTTTAGAATTTTTTTCTTCTCCAGGTGAACCTTCAGCATGTCGATGAGTATAACTTTATTCCTGTCATTCAATAGAAACCTGTTTCAAGCAACTGAAGCAATGGTTGAATCATTGAATATAATATCAGGAGAAGACGTTGCTAGAGCTCTACGCAGACGTTCAGAGCTCTTGGTAGTTTTGTCTGATGCGTCAGACGGACAGCCATCGAAAACTACAGTTATAATTGAGCTGTAGTAATTTTGCCAGTATTGGACATATTTGGAACCAATTTTTCCAAAAGACGCATTACGAGGCCACACAACTTTGTAAACCGTCTACAACTACGTGCGCATCATTTCTCTGTTGATTTTCATTAAGATTCATAGGATTGAAGGTTGTGTAGAATAATGACTTCCTGATTCCATCTTCATTAAATAATAACATAAGAAATGGTGACAATTCATCTATGAAAAAGTCCTTTAACTCTTTGTTATAATATTTAATACATGTTACGTTATACATAAAAGTAAAAATAAAACACACTTTCAGTAAAAATCTACCAGAAAACTAAAAAAATTGTGATACTTCCATTTTTATGAAATTTTACAATCTTTTAAATAGCCGTATCTTATAAACTATTTGGCCTACCAAAACTAAATTATTCTCATTTTATTGCCAATTTACTCTACTTAAAAAGTGTGCATTGCAACTTCGTAACACAGGTTCTTGGCGGTAAAAATTGACAAAAACTGAAAAACATCCTAAAATTTAAAGAATATTTTAGTATTTAACAATGATCCGAAAGGCTTTCAAGGTAAAAAATTTGTATTTGTCATTACCATCTCCACACTACATATAAAAAAAAACATTGTAAAACCATATAAACAAGATATTAAATCAACACCCAAGTAATTGTTTGTCAGTTTCAATTACTTCCTAGCATCAAAAACAATGAGTTTGGGTACTGGTTGCTTGTAAAATATTACTACTTGATTTCGTACATCAATTATTCCCATTCTGCCGTCTTTTGCAGGATATAGTTTGATAACTAATTCTTTCGCCAATAATTTCTTGAATTACTGGGATCCACCATTATAATGACGTGACCAAGTTAAATTATTTTATCCTTTCGGAACCATTTTGAGCAAGTATTCGTTTGTCCAACCAACGAAATCAAAACATGTCGGACAATCAGATTACCGTCTCTATCATTTATTTCTGTTCAAAAGGGAGCAAATGAAGTTGGCGTAATCAGGAAATGATTAGGGGTGCTAAATGCTCCAATTAGGAATACATATGGCAGCTGGGTTAGAAAGAATATAAAGTTAATAGATTTTCACAGCATTTACAAAATACCTTTCAAACAAATTAAAAAGAAGTACCGAACTAGGAGTTTCCAAAGAGAGATGACTTAATCATCAGACCAACCTCTCCAAAGGAAATTTCAAGAAATAAAAACAAATATTGACCCCTATTTAATGCCTCCTTTAAACTAAGATATGTACCTAGGTTGTGAAAAACAGCTAAAGTTACTTGGATTCCCAAACCAGGAAAAACTCTAAATAAAGTTCCGTCATATAGATCAACATCTCTATTAACAATATTATCGAAACTATTTAAAAAAATACTATGTTTTGTTGGGAATGAGGTGTTAATACACTGCGACCTAAAAGATCTATTGTGCCCCCTTCTATCGCCAATGCACCATGGAAATGTCTCAATGACTATAACGACCCTTCCAATCCTATTTTCTCAAGGAAGTGTAGGATTTGAAGTGGTTTCAAGTTAGGTAAATCTCCCTCTTCTATTTGATATCCTTCTAGATATAGCGCTCTTGGATTCTGGAGTCCTACACATTAAGTTAGGATGTGAATGGATGTTTCTTCCTCCTGCTCACAGAATCTGCACTCACTGTCCTCTACTACTTTCAGTTTACTTAGGTGTCCTTTTAGTCGGCAATGCCCGGTAAGGATCCCTGTTACAATATGTAGCCTGTTCTTGCTCAGGCAGATGCAGGCTTTCGATCTTTTCTGGTTATATTTACCCAGAAGTATCTTGGGCTATCTCAGCCCCAAGAGATTGTTCCAATTATCGGTTCTAATGAAGATACTGAAACTCATCATTTAAAAAAGAAAACTTTTTCCAGATTATTTCTTAGGCTTTAGAGATTATATTAAGTTCATAGAATTTTAAATTGCGACTGAGAAAGCATAAGAAAAAAAGAAATCTGTTTAGCCATCTTTCTCTATGTTGCGCAAGAATATGGTAAAGTATGGAATGATGGCTTAAAACCTAAACTAAATGTACTACTTCCACAGCCATATTCAGAGCCACTGGATTTGTAATTATCAGATAAGATTAGAGTAAAACAAGATGAAGCATAATCTAAATTAAAAGAAATTGAAGCAAGAGTACCACAGTGAAACGTCCTAGGATATATTTTGTATTTGGCTTACACTTGTGACATACCAAAAATAAAAAAAAAAGAGCCAATAGCTACATTTATCGATGATAGGCCATTCTAGCGATGGCAAAGATTATAAACATAAACATAAATTACAAACATTAGTTAATCAAATCGAGAAAGAGAGAGAGAGAGAGAGAGAGGGAGGGAAGAAAGGATTATCAGCTTATAATTAAAGAATTCTTTGAGCTGTTTATCGTGTTTATTGAGAAATGCTATCCAGTGAAATATGGTTGAGGAATTACCAATTGAAAAAGCTTTGCAGCAATGGATTTAGTTATCTGCGATAGTTCCTATGCTGATAGACATAAGAAGGGAAGCATCACGAGATTGAAACCACTAAATAAACTTCTGAAGATATGCATTGTCACCTGGAACTCTAGCATCCTTCGCATCTACTTACAACCATCTAGTCCTAACTAATAAAACTGTGTATGTTTCTTTTTGTAAGATTAAGAATTTAACTAGAAATGAATTGTGGCCTTTGTTTAATATTACATTTAAAAACCAATCCTTCAATATCCTTTATATTTTATATCATAAATATTTTCTGAAAATTAGTATAATTAATAATACAAATGACGTGTGTAAGATCTCATGTCTCTTTTTTTATAAACAGGTAAAATTTGTCTTTGATAAGCACTAATATGGGTACGAGTGGGCCAAATCGAATAAACAAATAACTCAGAAAAATACCTAGGTGCAAGATTTCGCTGGAAAGTACATGTTGAAAAGAAAAGAAAGATATATACAAAATTTAAGAAAATTTGCATTTCATATAACAAAATTATTTTACCTTCACAAGTCCTCAAACTAACTTGTACCTATGGCATTCAGCTCTGGGGTTGTGGTAGCAAAAGTAATAATATAATAATCCAGAGATTTCAGAACAAAGTGTTGAGGAAAATTGTAAATGCTCCTGGGTACATTAGATACAGCAATCTTCAGATAGCCTCTGGATCAGCTGGGTCAAGCGGTACATGAACCAATGACCTGAAGTTTTAAAATATATTAATATTTTATTAAGAAGGTTAGTAAAACATGTTCGTAAGTGTACTTCTCAACTGAAATGTGTCTCAGATATTCTTTATAAATTGACTAAGTCTCTCCTAACAACCTCCAATGTTTGCTGTCATTGGTGCGTTACAGAACTACGTACATCTTTTAAGTGTACACATTTTCATAATTTCTGACTGTTCTTACTTTTTAAATTATAAAAGTCCTTTAGCATCTTTGAAATTTATTCCTCTGTCGCTATAGGTTTCGTTAGAAAAACTACGAAGATATATAAATCGTCTTAAAATATTAATGAATACATTTGAACTTATGACATAAGCTAAATTAACTACTGGAGTTACTATAAACAATTAATATCCTATATCTTCATTTGTTACTTCTTTTAACTGTTAATAGTTATTACCAGTTTCCATAAATGGTCTAATAGTAGGTTCAATCCTACTCCGGTAGCTGATCCATTATAGATACAGTTGGAACAGCCTTACTATTTGATCACATTTCGGAGGAGCTTTTGATAATCTTAAAGATTGTCAGATCCTCCAAAGTAGACATCAATCTAATGTTGCTCTATAATGGCCCTAATTGCTTCAGGATGTGTCATATTAAAATCCAAAGCATGTTTTTTGCACAAGTTGAATCAAAAAAACTACTCTAAATACGTATACGTCAGGCTAAACGGGTCTATTTATTTTCCTCCATAAACTATTGAACGAAAATGAAACACGCAGATTTTCTATCTGAAAATAAATAAATAGTTACATAAATATTGTAAATGAAAAAAGAAAAAATAAAATATTAAATTAACTTAATCTTAATCTTTAACACTCAAAGAATAGTATGTTCTTTTTCTTGCACCTCTATTACTCCAACTGAACGTTTATCGATTCGGAGTCTGAAGACAAGCTGAAAAATTCACTGACACTTGTTTTATTGGAGCACAGCCAGAAGTATTCATAAATAAATTTCCTGCAGTGCACCATCCAGTCTCCTGAAAAATTTACGATGTGTACTGAAAACAGGAAGAGAGGAAACCGTACACACTTCGGGATATTAGCCTAACATCAAGATAGCTGGATCGACGAATTTCCTGTGAAAATTCGGTTCGCGGTTTGAGGGTTTATTTTTATTTGATCAATCGATTAATTTCTGTTAATGCGAATGATAAGGTAGGAGAGAAACAGACTAAAGAGCACACAATAAATAAAATTTGATAGTATAGCACGATGTTGATAGACTGAAATTAAGGAATCTCCTTTAAAAACGGGGGTATTGAAACTATACATGTTATATTGGATAATATCAAATGCACACAAGAGAGAATGGCAACAATAAGACTAAGCAAGATACAAAGACTGGTTCTGTCTTAAATTAACAGCGGCATAGAACTCCCATATCAGCAATGAAAATACGCACTATTAGGCTACCACCACTTAACTTTTTAATACAGGGGAGGCAAAATTATGTATTTACAGATTAGTTAACACACATTTTAACTAGGTCACACAAGTATATCTAGGTTATTGACGAGATGTGCTATACATGATTATAAACCAAGCGCTACTTCTCTGTCACTTTATA